ACATGATAACTCAAAAACCAAAACAATGGTGTCAACCAAATTCACTGGGTTGACATAGTTTCAAACGGAGTATCCGCTTTTATAAGTATTATTCATAACTAGTAGTAATTTTACAAAAATCATAATTCTTGAAGTTAGCTTTCTTAGAGATATTTAGTGTTCCTGTAAAAAGCTTAAATACAGGGTGAAACAGGAATTACCAGCCAATAATAGATAAACAATAGATATTACAGTTGGAACATCATTTTATTTAGAACTTGGTTATAAATACAACCTTCCCATGTCTATTGAAACACAGTATTAAAAAAAAACAAGCAAACAAGTAAAGAAAACTTTTCAAAAAAAGAAGTAAATGTAGGGATGGCTAATATTAATCCTTCAAAAACAATGCAAACAATATAGTAGGGATGGCACTTGCATCATCCCTACATAATAGCACAGGTAAGAATTAACATATATATATATATATATATAACTAATCAGTCACAACTGAGTTTAATTTATCCTATTTTTGTCTGTTAACATTATACAACATGTTAATACTTGTTTACATTATCCAGAAATTTGGTTTGTTTAGAATTTCGCGCAAAGCTACAGTAAGTTTGAAGGCTTATAACGCTAAAATCAGGTTTCGATACCTGTGGTGGGCACAGCACAGACAGCCCAATGTGTAGCTTTGTGCTTAACAACAATCAAATTTAACTGAAAGATTTATTTTTATTTAAGAGTTAGAAGATTTTAGTTTTACTTATAAAGGGGGAAAGACACTGAAATGGTCAGTTTGTTTTTATGTGGTTTTTTTAATTTCGCGGAAAGCTACACGAGGGCTGTCTGCGCTAGCCGTCCCTAATTTAGCAGTGAAAGACTAGAGGGAAGGCAGCTAGTCATCACCATCCACCGCCAACTATTGGGCTACTCTTTTACCAACGAATAGTGGGATTGACCGTCTCATTATAACGCCCCCACGACTGAAAGGTCGAAAATGTTTGGTGGGCCGGGGATTCGAACCTGCAGATTGCAAGTCAAGCGCCCCCTAACCACCTGGCCATGCCGGGCCTTATCCAGAAATAACAAGAACAATTTATTTGACTTAAACAAACTAAATCAAATGTATGATATTGAAACTTTCAGTATAAGCACATAAATTAAAAATAGTCTACGTAAATAAAAGCTATATTTACGTTCAACCTTTCTGGACACATGGATTTTTTTTCCACGACTGATATCGTGGGTTCCGTCAATTTGTTACTAAAGCTATCATTTCCAATGGATTAAACACGAAATTATCGAGAGAAAATTTAAGAATCCTACCTCTTTGTCTTCGACTAACGTGGCCACTCTTCCAGGCTGAAAGAAATAAAGAAAGTTAAGTTGTTATTATTTTTTTAATTTGCAGCAAGAACATTATCAAATATCCATTGGTAAAATAAAACGTGTCATACGTAATAATCTAAAATCAACCTATTGTTTTTAACTGAAATTTTTAACAAACTACAATGGCCTTTGTTTTGGATCTGGAAGTGTGGCTAAAACTGACCTACACGTTTTAACTGAAACAGTGACAAACATATGACCTTTGTTCCATAGCTAGAAATTTTCCTGAAACTGGCCTATCATTATTAACCGAATGGTGACAAACCTACGAACGTTTCATTTATTCTGTAGTATACCAATCTATAGCCCCCCAGTGGCACAGCGATATGTCTACGGATTTACAACGCTAGAATCCGGGTTTCGATACCCGTAGTGGGCAGAGCACAGATAGCCCATTATGTTGCTTTGTGCTTAATTACAAACAAACAAACCACTCTATAAATAATAGTGATAATGAAAATACTATAGTTTTAATGATTGTTCTATTAGATAATGTATGCATACATTAACTCCACTGTAACTAGATAAAAGCGACTCCAAACCGGGTTTGATAAGACTACAGCTGTACAGGTAATGAATGGCAGGTAGCTTGAACGAGTCGAAATCGTGTAGCAGCCGAAAGAGATAGATTGATACAGAGACCAGTGTAACTGGAGCTCTTCGTACATTAAGATAACAAAACGCTGGAGATGTAAAAATTGGAATTTCTTTGGGCAGGACGTTGCCCAAAACTACACAATAGGCTATCCGTGCTGTGCCCAATACGGGTATCGAAATCCGGCTTTTAGCGTTATAAGCCTCCAGACTCACCAATGAGCCAATTGTGTAGCTTTATGCTTAATAATAAATACACAAACAAAAATCGGTGAGGTTTTTATACAATTTGTTTTAGTTCTAAAGCAGGAAGACAAGTAGTGATAAGGTTCTTTCTCTGTGCATATACTTATTCGATCAGCCTCGAAATTAGCTCTATTTGGGAATACGTACTGTTTTTGCTCAAGTAAACGTATGTGACACGTACAAAGCAAATATTTCTGAATACTTTAATACGAGATAATAAGGTTAATATCACAGTCCTTGTTTAACTACAGCAAAGGGCTACAGCTCGACTCGCAATCTGAGGGTCGCGGGTTCGAATCCCCGTCCCACCAAACATGCTCGCCCTTTCAGCCATGGGGGCGTTATAATGTGACGGTCAATCCCACTATTCGTTGGTAAACGAGCAGCCCAAGAGTTGGCGGTGGGTGGTGATGACTAGCTGCCTTCCCTCTAGTCTTACACTGCTAAATTAGGGACGGCTAGCGCAGATAGCCCTCGTGTAGCTTTGCGCGAAATCCACAACAAACAAACAAACTACAGCAACCAAGCCAGTTGTGACCGGTAAGAGTGAGTTAACTATTATATACCACAGCTCCTGAATTCTTCACGTTACATAGACATTTTCTATTTTGTGAAGTTATTATAAACTGTTAATTTGACATAGTTAAACAATTTGTGAAATAAAATATCCTATTACTGAGTACAGAAACGGTATGTTTAATAACACCATCTTATCGTGAAAACAAAATTAGAATTATGTAAAGATTTTTCACCGTTTGAGAATGACATCAACTCATGGATTTAATCGATGTTATCACTTACCCGAGGTTAAGATATTCTACCACCTTATGGGGAAAAGGGGGAGGGACTTACAACAAAATCAGTAAACCATTTGTGGTCTCATCCAAAAGCTGATCATCATTTGAAACTTGGTATATTATTGTTAAGAATGATGAATGTTTAATGCCCTCTGTTGTATTGTTATTAAGATGGAGGAGTGCTTAATGTCCTCTATTGTATTGTTTTTTTAAGATGGAGGGGTGCTTAATGTCCTCTGATGTATTGTTTTTAAGATGGAGAAGTGCTTAATATCCTCTGTTGTATTGTTCTTTAAGATGGAAAAGTGTTTAATGTCCTCTGTTGTATTGTTTTTAAGATGGAAAAGTGTTTAATGTCCTCTGTTGTATTGTTTTTAAGATGGAGGAGTGCTTAG